ACTGGAATGGATGAGACTCGAATGCGAGCATCGGCGCTTTTGTGCAAGATTTTCTTGCAGTATTTGCCACGTTTGGTGCGGTACAAGGATTTGCCGGACTTGTGGGTAAAGATTCTTGATTATATGTTTAGATATATTCATGCTGGCGGCGCAGAGTATTTGGTGAGTTTTTTTGTTATTTATCCTGTGTTCTTTCTTCTTTGCACTTTTGTTGTTCTCATTTATGGTTAAACATGATGCCCAAGCCTGATTGATCAAAATTTCTAATGAATTGATTTTTTTTTTCTTCTCGTTTTATGCAGTACGAAGGCGTTCTGGAATCATTGAAGAATATGCTCCTTGTCATGTCAACACAATCTGTATTTCAACCTGTCACGTCGCCAGAGACTGCTGGCTCACAAAATCTGTGGACTATAACATGGGCAAACTTGGATAAGCCATTCCCAGGTTTGAAGGACGAGCTGTTCCCATCAAGTGGTGTTCCGATTATTGCTGAAACTGCGAAGGTTGTTGTTGGTGAAACTGTGGTTTCGGGAGGGGAGGCTGGTGGACTTGTTGGTGATAAAGCTTGATCTTTTTTGTTTGTTTAATACAAAATGTTCTTTCTATACACCTCTCTTCAAACTTATAGTTTTCCCTTTTACGAATGTTTTTATGAATGCTTTCGTTGACACACAGTATGCAAAACAATGAAGAAATAAATCGTTCCTGAAAAAGTTTTTGCAAAAAGAGTGTCAACTCCATGTTAAAATGATTAGGATCAAAGCAACATATTGGATATCGTCCGCATTTAACAAAGTCACCGACACCTGATGGAAACCTATCAGCTTACTCCTCTCCTTGCATCGTCTTCACCGTCTGATTGCACAAGTCGTGTGTTTCTTGATCAACATCTTGGGAAGGAAGGGGTATAAAAAAATGGTCGAAGTGGGGTTCGAACCCACGCCACTTTCGTGACTGCAACTTGAGTGCAGCGCCTTGGACCGCTCGGCCATTCGACC